AGATAGATGGTGAGCAAAAAGCAGTAGAGGAGAATGAAAATGAACACACACACACACACACATACTATCATAAATCACCAGTGATGAAGCAATGTAACAGTACAAAGCATGGATAATAGCACTTTACTATAATCTGTAATACGTTTAGACTGTTGTGCTGATGATCGTGATGGTGATAGTGATGATGATGCTGTTAACTTGTATCTGTGAGTGGAGAGAGACAGAGAGAGAGAAAAAAACACAAATAACACAGTGTGACACATCAGTGATGATGAATGAGTGGGTCAGTCAGTCAGTCAGTGAGTCAGTGATGAGATTAACGCCATATCCTAAATCAGAGGTAAAACAGAGGAAAAGAAAAGAACACAACAGAAATAACAACACACAAAGAAACAGAGAGAGAGAGAGTAAAGATGTTGGCTAAAAAACATCTCCAAATACCTACACCATAATAAAAAGCACTATAATATAATTTTGCTGATAAAATAAAACTTCCCACTGTTAATTCATGCTTCTATCTCCTGTGTTAAATGCTATCATAATATATAAGAGTAATGGTGAGGTGGTTATGCGGATAGTGTTAGATAAGGAAGGGTGAGTGAATCAATGAGGCTAGGACACGTATTACGCATGCCAAGCCATCATCCTCCTCCTCACAAAGGGCACTGTTAGCTGACACAGGATAAGTTACAGGTTTTCATCATGAGCTGACATTGGTTAGAGAACCATTGGAAAACCAGCTGGGAGTACTGGACAGCTGTTTCGTCCTGGTTGGGGACTCTTCAGCAGTACGCACCTACCCACCTCCATGGTTCGAACCCAGGACCTTCTGGTCTCGTATACCATTAAACCACTGGGACCCGATCCAATGGCCACTCAGCCCATGAATTCTAACTTCTGCCAATTCACGATATAGCGCAACCGCTAGGCAATGTCTTCGGCGAGTATTTGTCCTCACACCTGACCTGCTGCACCCTACTGGTCACGACTTTCCACTGGAACCCCAGGTCACTACCTACCTGAATAGAGCCAATCGCCAGTGAGCATCTCATTGATATTCAAGTATTGGCTTGTAGGGATTCGGTTGATTGGTTACAGTATTTCATCATGATGAAATACTTGACACAGGATTAGCTTTACGATAGAGTTACAGACAGTCAAACCAAAACTTGATATCGATCCAAAAAAGTCTTTGACAGTTAGTAGGGAGGTGAAAACTATCTGTTTCGGGCTCTGGGAACCAACAGCTGAAGACCATTGGTGATGATATGAACCCGAAATCGTTTTCACTGGTGAAGATGCATTCATCCTTTTTAATCTACCACTGTGTCGCTATTCTTTCTCCTCAAACACTTCTTCTCATTATAATTTGTTAGAATTCCTCTTTTCTCTACACTTATGGGGTGTGGCAACTTGAAAGGCTGCATTTCCGTGCAAGGTTCCATGCTGAAATTCAGTCAGACAGTTGATGGATTTTATTATTGAGGTAGTCACCGAGATATCCATGCATATTTTGAGGGCTTTGACACACAACACCCCACTCCCCTAAACACATATAAACATATGCTAGCCAAAGTTTACCATATGAAATAGGAGAAATGATTATACATTAGAGTACCGTTTATATCAATGTTAGATGAACCTGAAACATGATATCATTAAAGACCAGGGATGTTAAAGCAGTTCACTTTGAAAATAATCTTACCATTATTTTATTACTGGATCACGTGAAATAATTCTAGCGTATTTAAAACACTAAAACAAGATTATTCTGGAAGTTTCGCTGTGTAGGAGGCCACAGCTTCTTCAGCAGAATAATTATTCAAATTTTGTTAACCATCAAGACATATATGGACAAAAATTGCACAAATCGAAGTGAACTTCTTTGAAGGTCACTCACTTGTCCGTTGATGTTTGCAGTAATAGAAAAAAAACGTAAACAGTCATCACATATATTTGTAATGCCTAAAGTCAAATTGTAATATTGAAAACAAGTCAATTCGTACCTGAAAATCACGACAATACTTTCCAGTGGTCACAACATAAGATTGAATAAATTCTTTCACCTCTTTTGATGTATTACACAGTCTACTGGTGATAAGTCTATCCTTTCTCTCTCTCTCCTACCTATTGCATCAACTTTGTTAAGATATGTAAGGCTTCAGAGATCAATGCTTCTTTATATGAATGAAAGCTTTTCCCTAGAATTTCAACATTGTCAAAATCGACCTTATGTCTACTTTTTTCGAGACTCTTTAATAAAACTTCATTTCTAGGCGGAAGTTTCGTGCACAGTGTGTGTGTGTGTATTCATTCACTCTGACCATAACCTTTCTACTGCTTTCCGTCATACGGTAAGCTTCACATTCTGACCATTTTTCCTATAGACGCAGTTGTTGAACTTTATTTTTCAGTCAGTTAATCTTTTTACACAAGACAATCAAGAAGGTTTCCAGTTCCCTCAACCTATTCAACCTCATTTGTAGACTTTATACATTTCGAAATGGAGTTAACCTGTTCGAGAAAACTTCCCCTTTTCAGCTTTCTTAATAATTGAGAAATATGTCGTCTACATTACTATTATTATTACTTATATTATTCCTTTGCGTTTCCAGTGGAACATAGGGCTTCAAGCTAGAGCTTTGAAGTTTCAGCAGCAGTGTTTCTTTTACGGGATGGGACTGAAAGTCTGATGCCCAACCTTCCCTCTTTGCCTGGCTTACTACTAACCGGCTAAGGAAGGAAAAGGAGTACGCCGACAGGTGATTGAACCCCGGACCACTTGCGTGGCTGGCCAGTATTCTACCACTGAATCACCGACGAACTGTTGCCTACATATGTGAACAATAAACATTCTAGGATGACAAATTAAACCTTCCATATAGAAATTTACTACAATTGGAGATGCTGTTCATCCTATTGCAACTTCATTTGTCCGACAGTACAGTTTGTCTTTAAAATTAAAAAATAAGTAGATTCTAAACAAAGTTTAAGCATCTTATAATGTCTTCTATTGATAATGAACATTTAGCTAATATTTCTTGATTGTTTCCTAATGCATATTTCATAATATCAAATGCATCAGATATAGAGGAATACCAGTAAAGAGAGAAATCGCATCAAAAGTAGTAAACAAAGACAAATTCAGAAGTTTGAAAAACTTAGAAATCTGAATGCAGCAACACTCTAGATCAGAGAAGTGAAGAATACAGACTACGATAAGAACACTATGCAATTTGTTCAACAGAGAAACCAATGTGTACACGAAGCAGCATTACTTTAGAAGGCAGTACACTTCAACATAACTAGAAAACTCCTGGAAGCAATAGAAATAATATCACTGAACTTGTAGTAACCCTTTGACTTGATGATGAAGCTAATTAATTGAGTCAGAAGGTTGGATGTATCATGTCGAATGAAGAGTAGTCAACCATTAATTCATCGGAAGACAAACGTCATGCATAACAAACTTAAAAATCGGACAAATATGTTGTCATGATTAAAGCTGAAAAAGGCTCTGTCACTGTGATTCTCAATAAAGATTGTAAGAAGAAAGCTTCGGAAAATATCGAATCAGGTGCATACGCACTAATGTCAATTAACAAAGCGTCTAGGACTATTGCAATGGTAGAATATAAGAGAATAGAGGACAAAATGCATATTAGTACAGTTTTAACCACATTAAAAGTCGGCTGAGTCAGCGGACGATAAACGGTCCTGATTGGTTGGCGACTAGTCCAAGGTTAAACAGTCGGAAGAAAAGTTGTCCAATGAAACTACTGCATGACCACGACGCAAACTAAATCTGAATTTGAGGAATAAACGCTGCTACTTCTCCAGCTACTGACCTAAAATGCTGATTTAAATTTTTGGACACTTCCTATCAATTCACACACGCCACTATGAACAAAATAAAAGCAGAGGTGTGTAGTCCACTAAGAGAATTGAAAACAATACTGCCCACCAGATTTGATTTTCTCCTCACATGATTCTCATCCACGTTACGTTAGTGTTAACAATTCGAGTGTTGTCCCATTCGCCAACCATTACAAATCTGCACACTGATTTCAAAAATAGTGAATGCCTATCTTGGTTTCCCGATCTTGGCTGGATTCGACATCCACATCTGTGCCATGCTGGGGAGGTAATCGAAAGAGGAGACCTACATTAGGTTTCTCTCAATGGTGCTAATTGGTGTTTACCAACAGTCGGATATCAACGTGTCTAAAAAGAGCAAAATACTGCAGATTCCGATGATATGAACACATCTCAGAAAGCTAAAATTAACACAAACTACAACACATTCACTCCAGTTACTAAACATCAGTAACATTATGAACTGTATACTGAATTTTTATTTTCCGAAGATGCCTACAACCTCCCAACAACTATTTGCATTTCCATGGATATCCGACAATGAGCCGCATTCATTGTCTGAGGACTAACAATACTACCTGACTTGACATACATCTGTAGGTCAAGCAGGACCTAGTAGTTCGAAGTCGAACACCAACTGAACTAATGAGCTAAAGCTTCGGACACCTAGCCAAACATATTTGACCTATTATGTGGTGAATGTCAGTCATAACAGTTACTAATAGCATAGGTGGTGAAACGGTCGAATGTTTACCAGCCTCACCAGAAGGCAGGGTCCGACTCCCGGACGATGTGCTCCGGAAGCCTCCTCTAGTTTGCTAGACGGCAGTAAACTGAAAAAAGAGGTAAGGCAAAAGGCTAGCAACCCCTCTCTGTAAGGACGAAAGCGCCACCAAAACTTCGAAGTTTGGAGTCCTATACACTACTCGGAACCAAAGGAATGAAATGGGAAATGGGAAAAGTTATGAAGTGACAAGAAAAATGACTTTGAAAAAAAACAGCAAAATTTAAAACTAAAACTACATTCAGCTCAGTATTTATTCCATCAGAAAATCACAGTAATAAAAAATATGTAAACTGAATTTTTTGTTTTCCTGAGAAAAAGGCACTGTGTAAGAATTTACCTTGGTCCTAATTGTAAATTTTTGTCTGTTAGTGGGACATAAATAACACCCATAAGTGGTTTACGCTGGAATGAACCATCTGGTAAACGATCAATTTGAACTAGAACTTGATTTCCACCCTCTGGTCCTTCAGGGCAAATTAGACGACCACCAATTTTCAACTGTTCTTTTAACTAGACAATACAAATAAACAAGCAAAGTTGATTACAACAAAATCAAAAGTCTGTCTGTCTGTTTTCGACATAGAACTTTGCACGTATGTGCGTCAGTTCAAGTCACCACACTCCCTCCTTGTAGCACACAAAGCAAAAGAAGGGAGTAGGAGAAATGCATAATATAGACAGTAAACAGAGGTGAGACAGAGGAATAGTAATAACGAAGAACAAAACAGTTAAATTGGAAATCATGAGTCACAACGAGTGGATGCATCTGCACCGGCCAGCCATTGAGAACGATTTTGAGCCATGTCACCAATTGCTTCCAACCATTGGATTTTACCGTCCCGAGTATGAAAAAATGTGCTATGACTATTTTAACAATTAAACAAATACTGAGAGGCAAAGTTAAACAGTAGCGTCCCAAGGGATTCGAACGCACGACTGACCTTGAGCTGACCACCAACCATAAAAAATAATTGGTTTTTATACAAAAAATGACGTCTACCTACAAGGAAATGCATGGTAACACACTAAACAGGGTATCTTTCTCTGGCATGACTTAAAAGTACGTCCCAGTTATAATGAGGAGTATCAGTTTTTAAGATAGACAAGTTTCTGCACATGTATTTACCGAGGTAAATTAAGGCGAGGTTTTCTTGACCCGTTTATCACTTTTATCCTGTTTCGCAGTCCTTCCTAAAAGCCGTCATCATCAGTTAATATTACTGTACAACACTGTGTGATTTATCAAAATAAAATTTTATCCATAATGGAGTTATGCTCTAACACAGTGCCCAAGTTTTATACTAAAAGCAATAAAAGCCGTCGGTTGAATCACTATGGTTTCCAATAAGAGAATCGACCACTGCTTACTAGGAAAATGAGGATAATGCCAAATTAAAATAAATAATACCAAATTTAAATCTATTCCTAATTGTAACCCTAACTTTGATCCTAATCCTAACGAGCTATCGGCACACTGTCCAGACAGTGATTCGGGTGAAATTCATTCCTTAGTTTGCGAATAGCGTTCATATTTGCGCTATGATTATGACAGATGTCGTTAGCCAACGACTGGCATGCGTTCAAGGCCGTTGGGGTGTTCGCACCCCTGGGACGCTATTGTTTAACTTCGCCATATTTAGATCAGTAGAGAGAAGTTAGAGGTGATAATTACTTATGAACAACTTGCACAGACGTGTTAGTATACAACAACCACTTGCAATGCACTTGGGGAATGAACCACACCGGTTGTTCTCTGTAAGTACTAGTGATACTCTACTTTTCTATCCAAACCTCGAAAAGTGGAGTGGGATTCGAATTCGTAACCCACTGGGGTTGGAAGTCGGATATTTAAACCAAATAACCTACAGTTCCCATAAGGTCAGCATACAGATTATCTGTCTGATAAACAGGACTAACTGGCTGAGAATCAACACAGAACTTTGCACAGAAGTGCAGCAGTTTCAGTTGCCACACTACTCCATATAATAAAGGACACTTTACTGAAAACCAACTGACAATTATGCTTTACCATATGTCGTACAACACATGAAATTATAAATGCATTATAGGAAAATAAAGATAATCTATGGATAGAAGAACAGGACTATTTCACTTGATGTAAAATAAACGCGCGCGCGCAGTGATATAGTATTATTCAAGAATACAATATTCAGTGAAGAGACTCTTTTCAACGAATTTATTATCAAGCTGTACAACCGTATATATATATGGTTTATTTTTAGAAATTACATCCCCTGAGGAAATCTAAACGAAAATGTAAATACATGAAATAATAATATTGTGAAATTCAATCAAAATGTTTGTGATTCAAATCACGGAAGATTCCCACTAGGACATACAAAACATCAAAACAAGTGACTCAGTGATGACAGTTACGTATCCGACTGGTCTGTATCGCTGAAGCTTTGGCCATCGAGATAGAAAAGTCAAATCTCTTCATACAGGAAAAGTTCGTTCAGCCTATCCAACTTTCATGGTCTTAATCCGTCTATTGCTAAAGTATAGGAAAATTCTATTCATATTTTAGCTCTACCTATTTTTCGTTTTATTTATTCAATTTGTATACCATTCCTTTATTACATCGATTGTTACTATTATTATTATCATCCTCGTTTTGAATTGTTTGCGGTATTATTTCACCTGTTCCATTTGTCATTCTAAATCAGTTTGTTTTGCAAAGTTAAATCCTATCTTATCAAATTCCACATCATGTTAATGTAACGTTTTACATTGACCTACTAGTTCTATAATTCTACACCCCAATTTAAACATCTATACATCTTATGAACTATTCTATGTATGACATTATTTGTTTCGCCTCTTGACACTTGATATGTAACTATGATTTTAATCACAAACATTTTAACTGCATTTCAAACTATTACTATTTTATGTATTCACACGTTTGATTCAATTCCCTCACCGGATATAATTTCTTGAAAACCATATATCATACGAGTGTACAGCTTGCTAATAAATTCGTTGGAAGGAGTCTCTTAGCTGCATATTGTGTTATTAATTCTGCAAGGGGAATTATCAAATTATAGAATGCATTATTTATTAACAGTTGACGTTTCGAGGGTAATATTACATACAATCTTATCAAGGTGTTCACATAATCTCTTTTAGATTTTGTACAAAGAGCAGTACCATTATTTCTTATCTACTGATTCTATGGGTAATACTATATTTTCCATCTTTGGTATTGGTGAGTGTTAGTAGTTGCTCCTCCACGACCATAAACGACATGGTACTGCTGCCTAGGGAGTGGGTAGACTTCGGTCTTCTTCTCGAAATGTCTAGCTACTTTTCAAGTTAGCAGTGAATAACACCCCGAACTAATCACGAAGAAAACACACTGTTGGGTTCGACTATTGCACAGACAGATGACTTCATCATCATGAGTATGATAAGACAAGTAATGCATACATACTGTAATGTTCTGTACAAAACGTTCTTTACAATCTATGAAGAGTGCTCAGTTTTTTATGAGTATTTGTGGTGAGGGTCAAATCTAACGTGATAGAATACACCAGTATTCTATCTAAATACATAAAGGAAGCAAACTTCTGTTAGATATTTTTATGGAATCATTGCAAATATGAAAGATAAAGTAGCTTAATGTGTAAGTAACCATGTGATCTGATGGATTTGTGATGGTATCACTCTTCGACAGTCAGCGTTCTCTGAATGCATCTGTGATGTTGTGTGCTCCATTGGACTAAGCGTTTGATCTTTATCAACTCACCAGTGGGACACGAGCTTAAAGTTAACCTCATCTATCGAGATTTCAGTAGTCAATTAGTATCATTCTTTCGAATACGCTAAGTATTTTCTGTGCCAAACTGATGAATATAATTAGGAAGTTCGTTTGTTTGTTTGTTTCAACTAAGTTACCGGAGCAAATCTTTCAAGCAAGTTCAGTCTATAAGTCACACATATCTCATGTGAAGACTGATTTCCGGCACCCAGCAGTTCAAGCTGGAGTAGGTGGAACGGGACTAAAGCCCTACAGTCACTGGCTGAAAATTGAGTGCTTAGGACAGACAATAAGACACATCTCCACAATAAAGTCAGTAAAAAAAATTGAAAAATTATGAATTTTACGTAGCAAGAGAAAAATACACACGAACTCACGGCATTAGGAATAGTTGGAGCTGCAGCACCAACATGAATAGCATCATAAGGGGCATCAGCTGGCCAACCTTGACGACCATCACCAGTTACAAGTTTTAGTTGTTTTCCCAATTCTATGCCAGCTGATTGAGCTGCTTTACTATGATTCATCCAATTTCCAACATTTGCTAATGCAAATTCAGTTAACTCATTAATATGTTCAATGCCTACTGCAACACCTGTGGAGCCCACCTTTAAATATATGGACAAAAGGGAAGTTACAAGTAAGTATCATGAAGGTGTAGGTTCATTCATAACGCTAAGAGGAAGAAAATGAGTAAAAGCAACGAACTGTGAACACACACCCTTTTAAAGGACAGAAAAAAATTATAACAAAAAAGTCCCTTCGCTAAAAATTATTCTTAATGTTATTAATAATCCCCTACGTTTCGAATGGAATATACGGATTCAACAGAACATCTCCTTTCTACAATATTCGATGCAGATGTCCTTAGCTGGTACCGCGGTTGTCTAAGCTCTCATCTCCTCACACAATCTTCTCCACGTCAACCTCGGATCCACGCCCAACTCGTCGTTTCCGATTCGGGTCTCACTAAAGAGACTGGAGCGCGATGTGACTCAGCGGTTTCATCCTTGTCTCATCTACCTCCACTTGGGCTTATTTTCGGACTGTGGGTTCTTGGTTGGTTCGTTCCCAGAGTTCCTTGTTGCTAATCTTTTTTGGCTATCTAATCTTTAACCTGGAGCGAGGGCAGCTGTTCGAAAAGCTATTGTTGATATGCCAAGTCTCTTTACCATATAGAAGCACTGACTTGACATTAGTGTCGAAAATCCATATCCTGTTTCAATGGCCATATCTTTGATATTCTTGTGATTTTAGAAATCAGAAGTTAATGAAGTGATCGGAAACAAGTACAGATGACTTGTACTGAATTAAAATAGAAATATTTTCAAACAGACACATAGATAAGTGTCAGAAACCAACGCAAAAGTGTATCATTTCAGGTAGCCATAAAAAGAAGCATTATACAAAAGGGTTAGGGGAAAGTGTTATGCTACAGCAATATCTAACATGGATGTGAAAGGAGAAAAGACATTCAAATGGAGGTAAGTGAATATGTTTCAAACCTTTAGGATGATAAAGATTAAGTATATTTACATCACATGTCATGGCCAAGGGTTGGTAAACTTGGTTCTTCCTCTGGAAATATTTTATTGTCGCCACGCGTTCATAACCTCTGACACGTAAGTCCTATTGTGTTCACTGGCTCCATGCAAGGGGGGAGTCGTTCCTCAAGACAGACTGAATGCACTAACGCGAACATTCAGTGCTTACAACCGGAATAGTAGATATCGTGGCCTATTTAGGAGAGCTGGAAAACTCTGCTTCCAAACCTATAGTGTACATGGACTTCAAAATCCAAACTGACTGAGCTGGGAGCACGTGAACGCAGCTCTACTGCCTTGTGACTTGAAATTGATCTCTTGGTGGCCATAATGTACCAATTTTGTGTTCTAATAAAAATACTACTAAACCATGAGACACCCTGCCACTAATGATCTCCAAAGAATGATAACTGAAATCGCAGGAACCGAAGCGCAACACATTACAACTTTACAGTTATATTCCTATGTCCATGAAAAAATTATCAGGCTAGCAGGTAGTACATATATGTTGCAAGTAACGCACTGAATATTTTCTGTTAATTCAGAGTGAAGTACACATACATTATTATCTCCAAAGTAAGCTGTTATTAAAAACTTACTAAATTATCTGGGCGAAACAATACACAGAATACAACAAATTAAAATTTTGACCATTTTTGACACACAAGAACTACAAACTGAAAAAGTATCAGTGAGTCCTGATGTACACATAACAATGAAAACTTTTGGAGAATAACACGGGTCTCAACTGCCCAAAGTAACACAGTTTTGTAAATATGCCAAATTATTAGCCTTATTATGCCGAAATCCTCCTTTCCTTTCTATGATTAGCCTACCTGGTGGTTTCCAAGACACCTCTGTTTAGTTGGTAGAATAAAATAGCAATCCTAATCCACAGACTGTGACCAAAACTGTAATGGAAATAACAAATTGAGTGCTGGTGTCGCGAAATATTTAACTCTCCTACCCAAATATATAAACGAGTGAACCACTATTGTAGATTCAGTAGATGTTAGAAGAAACGAGTTTACCATTTTGTCCTGATAACGATAGCTAGTACTTAAGAGTATTTTTTTACTCAGTTATCTGGAATAGATTCCCCATTTACCCCACATTGTGCGAGAGCTGATGACATCACCCAGTTACCCAGAGTGAGACTCAAAATCGATACTGAAAGGTTGGAGACCGAGTGCCCAAGAGTATGAACCGTGAGTTGAACATACAAATGATGAGTTCATCCCTAAATGGGCGAAACAGCAGTCAGGTGTTTAGATAACTTCGACCTAGCCGGTTGGCAAGCACTGCTGGTTGATGTGTGTGGTGTTTACCTACTCACCTCGACCATCAGCAGTATGTAGTTTCATGAGATTATACCTCTAGGTGATTAAAGAAGTAAGAAGTCAATGAAATAGCCAACCTTGAAATACACTTCACACGAACAGTAAACTTAAGCAATGACAATAAACTGTTTTAGTGTACACTACTCTGTTCGCGAACTCAAGTTGCTGTTTATTCTTATCTTACACATATGACAATAAAACAATAATTTAAATATCACTCATTTTTGTATAGCTGTCAAGGAAAATCTCAGATATTCTTTGTTTTTATCACGTTTGTCTTTCATAGACTGAATGCAGTCAAATGACAATAAGTTTATTTGGCAACTATTCCAGAAACGGTATACTGAGTGAGCATACTGAGTATTCACATGCAGTGAGCTCTGTTTACGAAGTAAAACTTTTGTGCAGAATAAAACAAACTTACCATAAGTGCCATACATGCTGTTAAATATCCACTACCTGACCCAACATCTAAGGCATGTGAACCAGGTTTAAGATGATCTCTTAGTGCTTCCAAAGCATGCGCATGCTAAAGCATAAAAACAAAAAAAATATGCAATACAGCCTCTAAATACATGAAGGATTACTGAAAAGTAATAAATTCGCTCAAACATAAACTACAGGAAACTAATAGTTAGTTAAATACAAAGCATCGTTCATACAAATGCGCGCCTGTAATATGCAGCACTAAGTACCAGAATGATACATTTTTGACTGATGTAAACCACAAAACAATTTTCCATAACTCCTTGTTCGTTAGTAATCTATGGTTACTGGTACATATAGGAACATCTTATGTGCAACACTGACAAAGCAAACAGGAAAGCCAGTTCGCCAGAGACCGTTTATCTTGCTTGCACCATCACAACTGCAAAATACTGGTGCCAGGTGGTTGGGAGTTACCAGCAGAAAGCTCTGGATGTAGGTTTTGCACTGTTCGGCCTTCGTTAGTCAGGCGTATCCGCAACATCAAAATATGTGATGTTGCTTCAACCATCCGAACCCGCGTAACCTAATTCTGCAGTCCAAAACACTGCCACGAAGGCATTTGTGCTCAAGTTTAACCTCTTGTTTAACTGGTCACTAGCAAGTACATAAAGTCGCGTTAGTGCTAATTGGTCGGGTTTTAATCACGAAACTGCGCAGAAATTTAGTAATTGATATTGTCGGATCCACATAGTACACAATGGCAGAAAAAATTCAAATGAAATATAACGAGTGAAAATTTGCAGCAGAGGGAATTATTGCATAGCAAATGATGACAATTTAAAGTGGACGACACGTTCAAATATCTCAGTCCTTATCATTAGACTGCATCTCAATGCCAGCCGTTCCTGCACCCTATATTGGTCAGGAAGGAATCATATTGCTGACGAATCTTATCACTCAATTATGCAACGTGTTCACTGAGTTACGTAACCTGCGACTGCGGTGCACTTCGAATTGATGTCACATGGTTCAGTGCGACTGGTGGAAAGCCATAAAGCTAGATTTCTTTCTCCCAGAGAACGTTTAACGCGCAAAATATGTGATTAACTGGAAACCATTCTGAAACCAACCAGCTATTTAAGTAGGAATGTGGCGATAAGTTTATCTGTTGATGACCAATATTTTGAAGCAAAATAACTAGCTTAAGCCTTGATACACATGACACTTGTTAGGCATCAAAGAAAATCTCAACTGATTCCTGAGAAGTGATCCTCAAATTAACTTCGAGGAGACCATATAATATACACTTTATATTAATGTTTATATCAAAAACTTGTTTCAGGAAACAATATCTCAATAAGACAACTACTAATGATCAGACGAATGAACAGATAATCCACGGGGAATAAGTAATCCTGGATGGACAGAAACATTGCGCTAGTGGTTCATTGGTAAGATGCTCACTAAATATGCACCTGATCTGGAGCTCGATTTCTGACCAACGCAATTGCAAACAAAAACATGACATAATGTACTGACAAACCAAGAACTTAAGGCACAGAATCACAATAGTGGTTCTTCCTGTTTTAGGTTCAATATTTCAAAGTGACACGGTGTATTAACGCAAAATTGTAAACAATATGTGTTTACTAATTGTTACGCAAACCATGCTTGCCCGTTATCGTATTATTTCTGTAGTTACTCCTGAACTACGACTACAGTTTGACTATTACTACATATTTCACCTTAAAATACTGAAATCCTGATAAATCAGTCTGCCAAAGGATTTCTGACTTCATATGACACCATTAAATATGGTCGTGTTATAAAATCAGCACTCTAAATGCTATGGTAAATTCTTCATTAGACGCCTAAATCTCTACCTCAGATCTACAGATGATTTGCTTTATGGTTTAGTGTCTTTTTGATAGATTTAGCGTAGTTTCTAAGTCACACTAAACTACCAACTTTGATGAATACTTACCATATGAGGAGCACTAATTGTTGCGGCGAAACCAATTGACAGTGGCCGGTCTTCATATGAGTTTGACTTCGCGAAATACCCACGGTCTACAGACATCATCGTATTTTTTACAATTTCCGATGTAATAACTCGATTTTCTGCAGCAAAACATCAAACAATGTATCCTAGTTACTGTATAGGTTATTTATGAGCTCAACATGTGTCCTGCCACTTGACTGCCAAGCCATATTTTTGCTACAAATAAGCGAAACAATTGAAATGATCAAAATGCATCTAGCCATATTTCATTTGACAAATACATAGGACACAAATAAGTAATTCCACGAACCGTCAAGAAACCGCCTTTATTATTGCGTGTTCAATTTGCAATGCCCTACACACAATGTGTCAAATAGGCTGGACTTATAAGTCACGTTTGGTTGAAATTTCGCTTAAATATGTTTTGTGAATCAGTTTCACTAAAATTGTGTTATATGCTATCTGGATGGATGGGAATTCTCATTTCATGACTGGTTATGTTGGTGTCCGCATCATGTGATCTGACTGCGACACACTCTTAGTATATTGGCTGCAATTGATTAGTGTCTCAGGTGGACTGTGTCAAAATATAACCTAGTGTGGGTAAAAGTGATTCCTTTATTTTACTTCTTGAATGGTAAACAATGGTCCTTGATCTCTGGTAAAACTCTGCATAGTATGTCCTGCCGCTCGACTGCCGTGGCTTCGAAAGCCTCAGTGGAAAGTAGTGCGAGAATTGGCTGTATGTGATTTGCAGTATGCAGTGTGCTGGAACTCTGTTTCTGATGAGAATGCAGTTAACCCTCTAATCCATCGGTCGTCTGCTTTGGTCGGGAAGGGGGACACTAATACTGTAACAACAGAAGACAAGGACCAGGCAACAGAACGTTTATTTCGGAAAATCAACACATATTTATAGATTTTGATGTACATTATTATTTTTTGATTATAGCTTGATTCCACACCGTATTTTTGGTACAAGTATGGAATTTTCAGCACGTGATATCGGTAGCCCAATTTTGCAGGCCGAGCATTGATATCGGCTGTCTAAAACGCTTCTTGTTGAAATACACTTAGCTTCCGTGTACGATTGGAAAATACACTCTGCTGTTGGAGACTTCGCCTTATCCTTGGTTTCTTCGGCTTACTAGCTCAGCTCTCACCGTGTTGTTTCTTTCGGATCTATTGTAGAAGTCCACTACGCTCAACTGAAGACAATTCTACAACCGGGACACAGTAGCTACAACCTACTCCGTCCAAACAATTAACGTCTCCGTGGGTTATATAAATAATTTGTAGCAGAGGACTTGAACTTTATTTCCAAGTAACCCTTTTGTTGATATAACGTGTCGTTGCATTTTTGGTAATATACTGTTACTTAACATTCCATTGACTTGAATTTTATTTCTCATATTTTGTAATACTAGTGAACTCTAACCCTACAAATAAATTGGTGAGCCCGACAAGAACACGGTTTATTTTGGCATATTCATATTCTCATTTTTGCTGTTTTATATATTTATTGTGATTTTGTGTGTGGTTTATATTTGTATCCCATTTTGCAACAATACCCCCATATTTATCATGTCGTCACCTCAGTCTGGTACATCAAACGGGCAGACAGCTAACAGGGAGACAAATGCCACAATAAATGCCATCACGGATATCCGTTTACCTCCATACGGTTTCGCAGAACCAAGGATTTGGTTTGCGGTAATTGAGCCGTTACTAGACGCACGGGGCATTAAGTCCCAGATAGCCAAATATGGGGCAGTGCTGGCAGAACTCCCTACGTCAGTATTGACAGAAATCAGCGATTTCATCGAAAATCCCCCGACGGAACACCAATTTGATAAACTTAAAGCCCTCCTCATACAACGCACCAGTTTGTCCGATGAGAAAAGAATCCAACAACTGCTCACAGGTTGTGAACTAGGCCCACGTAAACCATCCCAGCTGCTCAAGCACATGCGTCAGTTAATCGGACACCATAAAGTAGACGAGGTAGTGCTGAAACAGATGTGGCTGCAACGTTTACCAAGAAATGTCCAGCAAATTTTAATCATCTCAGGAAAGTCGTATGACTTAGACCAACTAAGCGACATGGCAGATAGTATTATGGATGTTTTATCTGATAACACCATAAGTCACATATCATCTGATAGTGCCACACCGTCTCATGCCACACCCACTGTAGACACACCGATACTCGCTGCCATTGCAGACTTAGCGGCAAGGATTGACAAGTTAGAAACTAATAGGTCTGATCGACAGGTCTGGAGACAGAGTTCACAAAGAAGGTCACCGTCACGACGACGATCCTTCTCACGACAGCGTTCTTACACACCTTCTCGGAATAATAATATATGTTGGTATCACTGGAAGTTTGGACGTCATGCCCTCAAATGTGTAAAACCGTGCAGCTTTAGCGAAGCCAACCAGGCTCAGGGAAACGCCTCAGCCGGGCAGTGATGGCGACAGCTGTTACTGGCAAGCAAACAGGTCGCCTCTTTTATGTGAAGGATAAAACTTCAGACACTTTGTTCCTGGTAGACACGGGGGCAGAAGTTAGCGTGATCCCTCCTTCACTATCCAGGCGATCTACACGGACACCCGGAAAACTGTCTCTCCGGGCAGCCAACCACTCAACTATACCGACGTATGGAGAGCAACCCCTTATACTGGATCTAGGTTTGCGTCGGCGGTTCACATGGATTTTCGTAGTAGCCGACGTCGGTCACGCCATCCTAGGAGCTGATTTCTTAACTAATTTCAACCTGTTAGTTGACGTCAAAAATAAAAAGCTGATTAATAACAACACCCAACTACAGATCCACGAATTATCTCCAACTATTCTGTCTACAATATCAGTATTGAAAGACCAGCGGATTGTACTTTTTCCGCCCTGCTTCATCGTTTCCCTAAAATTCTTAAGCCGTCGTACAACGTCGAGGACGTCCCTCATACAGTGACTCACAAGATAGTTACTACGGGTCAACCAGTTCGTGCTCGCCCTCATAGATCACCCCCGAAAAAGTTAGCAGCAGCCAAGGCAGAGTTTGAACACATGATGCAGCTCGGCATCATCAGACCCTCCAATAGCCCTTGGTCTTCGCCCTTACACATGGTGCCTAAGGCTGATCATGATTGGAGGCCGTGCGGGGATTACCGACACTTAAACAATGCCACCGTTCCCGACCGTTATCCTATTCCTCATCTTCATGATTTCTCCCTGACACTACACGGAAAAACCATATTTTCTAAGGTAGACCTGGTCAGGGCCTATCACCAAATACCAGTTGCCCAAGAAGATATCGAAAAAACGGCCATCATCACACCTTTCGGCCTGTTCGAATTTCTCCGAATGCCATTTGGCCTAAAGAACGCAGCACAATCCTTCATGGATCAGGTCACACAAGGTTTGCACTTTGTATTTGTATATCTCGATGACGTTTTAATTGCCAGCTCGTCGCCCGAAGAACATACTGATCACCTCACCATCTTATTTCAGCGATTTGAGCAATATGGAGTAGTCATTAACCCCAAAAAGTGCATATTGGGTGTCCCCTCTATACAGTTTCTGGGACACCACATAACTGCGAATGGTATTGCGCCTACGGAGGAAAAGGTAGAGTCCATCAAAAACTTCCCCGTACGAGATTCACTAAGGAAGGGCAGACGTTTTTGGGGGATGTTTAATTTCTATCGGCGTTTCATTCCTTCGTGTGCCTCCATCGTCCAGCTGTTAACCGACCTCCTTAAAAATGATCCCAAAAGTTTCAGTGGTCAGCTGAAGCCCATGAATCTTTTTGCAACGCAAAAGACGCCTTATCCAAAGTCACTATGCTATCTCATATCAACCCCGAAGCATCGCTTATTTTGTGCACAGATGCCTCCCAAGTAGCTGTAGGGGCAGTATTACAACAAAAGATGAACGGTGAAGTCTACCCACTCGCATTCTTTTCTAAGAAGCTGGAACCGGCTCAGACACGTTATAGCACTTTCGGGAGAGAATTGTTGGCCATATATCTTGCAGTGAAGCATTTCAGTTACTTACTACAGGGCCGGCACTTCGCTATTTTTACTGACCACAAGCCCCTGTGTCATGCTTTCACTACTTCACTCGATAAACACTCCCCTAGAGAAGCCAGACAGTTGGATTATATCTCCCAATTTTCAACCGACATCCAGTACATCAAAGGGGATGCGAACGTGGTAGCCGATTCCCTTTCAAGAAGTGAAATAAACCAGCTTCAAACCGCGGTAGACATCAGTCTGGATCGCATGGCTCAATTACAGAGAGATGACGTTGAACTCCAAACCTGCCGCAGAAACTCTTCCTTACAGCTCAAAGAGGTGCCTATCCCCTTATCAGATGCAACCATAGTCTGCGATGTATCTACCGGCACTAACCGTCCATTTGTCCCTCTCAGTTGCCGAAAAGCATCGTTCGACCATTTACATTCTCTTTCTCACCCTGGAGTACGCGCCACAGTCAGACTCATCAGTGAACGCTTCGTGCGGCCTAAAATGGACTCTGACATTCGGAGATGGGCACGCGAATGTCTCCAATGCCAATGCTCCAAAGTACACCGTCACACTATTACGACCCCGAAGCCGTCTGAATTACCCGAAAGGAGATTTCAGCATATCCATAAAGATATCGTGGTACCATTGCCAACATCAAGAGGATATACACATATCCTGACAGCGATTGATAGATTTACTCGTTGGGCTATTGCATGCCCCCTAAACGACATATCTGCTGAAAACGTTGCTCTGATTTTTCTCGACCGTTGGGTGTCAAACTACGGTGTACCAACTACTATTACATCCGACCGCGGTCCTCAATTCCAATCGACACTCTTTCGCGAACTGACGAGACTCCTGGGAGTGAAACATATCTCCACGACAGCCTATCATCCGGCGGCGAATGGTCTAGTGGAAAGATTCCACAGACAACTGAAAAGCTCCCTGATGGCGCAAAATGATACATCTAAGTGGAGTGATTACTTACCTCTAATTTTACTTGGTATCCGATCTACTATCAAAGAAGATTTAGAATGTACACCGGCTCAACCTGTTTATGGCACCAACCTAACCTTGCCTGGACAGCTAGTTCCCTCAGCCGATTCCACAGACGTGAACATTACCGACTTCACCAACCGATTAACTAG